CAGATGCCTTGTAGCAGTGACTCCAGTAACGCACACATGACTCCCTGAGGGATGCGCTCATAAGCCATTCTCCAAGTCCACAAACACAGGATGACACTGGATGGACAAACTCCCCCGACCCCTCCAGCAGCCCTGTTAGGGTAAAGAGCTGGTCCACTGCTCTACAGTGAGGATGGAATCCACTTTGCTCCTCCTGAATCTGAGGTTAGACAGATCTGTCAGAGCCTCCTGTCCAGCACCCTGGACTAAACTTTCCCAGGGAGGCTGAGCAGTGTGATACCCTGATAGTTGTAGCACACTCACCAGTCCCCTTTTTTAAAAAATGGGAACCACCACCATAGTCTGCCACACTGTACCCGACCTCCACGTGACACTGACAAAAGTGTGTCAGCCAAGACAGCCCAACAATGTCCAGAGCCTTCAGCATCTCAGGACAAATCTCATCCACACCTGGAGCCTTGCTACTGAGGAGCTTTTTGTCTACTTCAGCAACCTCTGACAAGGATATGGATGAGAGTTTCATTTCATTAGCCTCCCTGAATTCCCTCCACCTCCATGAGTTGTTTTTACAGAGACGTTGCTCGCTTCCCGATGGTATGTTGTCACAAAAAGCGGTTGAATTTCACAGAGACATTGGTGCATTTGCTGCCATGAAGGTGCCGAAAAAGTAACTTTTAGCCAAAACGTGATCTTTTTCTAACTTAGTGGTCTTTGTACCTAAACCTAACCACACATTAACCTTGGTGTTGTTGAAATGAAAAGGTTGCACATATCTGCTACACAATAACGTACAAATGTAACTGTGGTTTGCAGAAACATACAAAGTCGCCAACATTTATCTGGTGATTGGGTTTTGTTTTTATATATTTTGTACATGAATAGAAAAAGTTTTTTTTTTTTACTTAGCATAATTAAACAGGCTCTTTTTAATTCTGTAAAGTCCCTTAGTTCTCATCATTCTGTGTTGTTGGAGTGATTACCCTTCATCTGTCTCTCAAACTATGCTGCATTGGATCCTTGAATTTGAGGGACCTGGGCCTTGAAAGTCCCTTAAAAGTCCTTGAATTTGATGTTTAACAAGTTTGATGTTTAAAACCATCAATGGAAAACTTTAAATGTAAAAGATAAAACAAAAGTAATGTAAAGACTGAAGGCGTCATCAGTCAGTGTCGGGACTGTTCATCATGTCCTCAGACATGAAACGATGGATCGACTCTGATGTGTCTGAATCCAGCTAAAGCCCAAATAATCCAGGTTTAAATCTGAACCTGGATCAGATCCAGCAGGCAGAGACACGAGTGAAACCACAGACTTAATGATCTGTTACTGAGAAACTCCTCACATATGTTACAGGCACATTTAATCTGTTATTATTTAACGGCTCCCGACATTGAAGATATAATATTTATAATGACTCAGCGCTCTGTGGACATTTTCAGTTTCTGAGAAGGAAAGTTTCACTTTAGTTTTCTGTCAATACACTAACTGATTATTGGACTAATGGTTTCAGCTGGACTTTATAAACTGTTTAGAACTAAACATCAGATTTTAAAAACTCTTCATATGTTTCAATCTGTGCGATAACTAAAAAGTGAAATACAAGTACCTGGAACATGGACTGAGGTACAGCACTGACAGAGTAAATGTACTTCGTTACTTTCCATCGCTGCACTAAAATCACTCAAACAGTTCAGATCATTAAAATGAAAGAATCACAGCAGCACAGGTGCGATGTGTGTGTTTGTGTGTGTATGGGCGGGTCAGACAGGTAGGAGGCGGAGCTTCAGCTCACCTGGGGAATTCCTGTGCAGTGATGGTGAACACACCTGAGGGAGCGAGGCAGAGATGCAGAGATCAGTCACTTCTTCTTCTCTTTATCTCTTCCATCTCTTTTCATCTCATCGTCTTCTTCTTCTGTTTCATCTCGGCTCAGATGTTCTTCTGACGCTTCGTCTGTGTCATCACATAAATCAACAGATTCAACAGACAGAACGAGTTCAGTGTCGATAAAGTTTTTATTAATGTGTCAAAACACTGTGCATGGAGATGAACAGAAATCAACATGTGCTAGATATTTTGTGAGAAATTTGACAAATACTAATTTGATAATAAGATAATAATCATAAAATCCTAATCATCACAAAATAGAAATTATATAATATAGAATTTAATGTCAACATTAATAATAATGTCAGAATCGAGGCTTTTAACAACCTTCAGGATATATCTGGGTTTTTGTCTCTTAAATTAGAATAACTTGTTCATCATAAAATCTTTTCCTCTTTTGTATATTTTAATCCGACAGCCTGAACATGTAGAAATACACAAGGTGTGACTGTAATTTACACATACAAAATGTCTTCAGTCTTAAAATCTGATTTTAATAGATTTCACATCAGAAATGATTCATGCAGATATAAAACACATTGACTTCAGAGAGAGACAGGTACGACTGTGCTTCTGAAACATTGAGTATTTCCATTTTCTGTTACTTGTTCTATTTCCTGCACTATATTTATTTAATAACTTTAATTATATAAGACAAGAAATAAATGATTGTTGATTAAACTCCCCAGCAGTATATAGAGTCATTAAAATGAGCTGCAACATTAAACTGATCAACACATGAACTCATCAATAATTATGATCCAGTAATATCATACACATTATTCTGCACAATCAATACTTTACTTTTGGTACTTTAAGTATATTTTGATGCAGATGAATGAGTGAATGGCTTAATTTCAAGCAAAGCCAAAAAATAAAAACAAACAAAACATCAGACATGCTCGAAAAGGAGCAGTAACAAGTGAACACTTGTGTAATCCTGCCCCCTCCTCAGTAGCTCAGTATTCATTTCTCATTGAAAAGGAAATTGTCAACAACTGTCCCAAATTTATTAATTAAACTATTAATATAAACTAAGCACAAAAAGTAGATTTTCTCTTTGTTGTAACAATGCTTCTTGGCAATAAATCTTATACCGTTGGAAAGCCTGTTTATTTTCCTTTTAAATGGAGCCACATTTGTAAGGAACATGCATTTGTGGGATGAGCAGCAGAGCTCTGGCCCAATGACAGCTGGGAATGAATGATTACATATTAAATTATATTCATTTATATATCGAAAGGTGTTTGTAAATTCTGTTCTGTTTGTTGTTTGTTTTTCTATAATGATAATAAACTTTATTTATATAGCCTTTTTCGAAAAAAAAAGTTACAAAGTGCTTCATGAGACAAATTAAAAATGGCAGACGAATGATGATAAAAAAATTAAACGTAAAATTCATAAAACAATGTAGTTAAAATAAGCAATAAAATAAAAGTTAAGAGAATTCCTTTTTATGTAAATGTTTTTAAAGGGAAATTTCGGTTTATTTCAACCTGTCTCCTATCGTCCTAAATTTGTTTCAAGTGACTAGTGACATAAAAATAATAGTTAGCATGTTAGCCATTAGCCTAGATACAGCCGGGGCGCATAGTAGTGTCAGACCTGTTAAAACGTAAGTGAACGGGCAACCTTCAAGTGCAAAGTTAGTCCACTAAACAAGCTTTTTTTCCACAAAGACCGCCTCATATTGTTAGGATAAATGTCAGAGAACATATAGAAAACGACATGTAAACGTGTTGTCTTACCTTACCAGTGTGCTGCCATGTTTGTTTACCATTTAGCTCTGCTTTCCAAAGGGCGGCTGAAATATTGCGTGAACAAGCAGTGATCTAATACCGTGCCTGAAATCTCGCGAGAACAAGCAGCAGCAGCTGGAAGGCAGAACCGGACAGTAGCCTGAAAAGTTCATTCATTTATTTTATGAAAGATTTATAGAATAATGGCTGACTTTTTGCCAGACTTCGACTTTGTGGAGGAGGAATTTGATTTTGCAGAGTTTGATGGCCGCCCTTATTTATTTGAGCCAGAATACACTGACGAAGAGCTTCGTGAAACTGAAGAACAGAGGAGGAGAGAGAGAGGCGCAACAGGTAGAGGACGAGAGAGGAGGAATGGCTGCTGCAAGGCTGCGTAGCTCTGGAGATTGGTGGTGTACCTGTGAATGCTGTGCCCCAGTGCCCACAGAAGAGGAATGCCTCTGTTGCAAGGAATGGGACCGGTTGCAGCCTTATTTTCAAGGTCTGGATGTGACCGAGGACGAGACACCTCCACCTGGAGTGGTATCCAGCTGGGCTTTATCTAGAGCTTGCGAGATATATTTCAGCCACGCTTTCGAAAGCAGAGCTAAATGGTAAACAAACATGGCAGCACACCGGTAAGGTAAGACAACACGTTTACATGTGGTTTTCTATATGTTCTCTGACATTTATCCTAACGATATGAGGCGGACTTTGTGGAAAAAAAGCTTGTTTAGTGGACTAACTTTGCACTTGAAGGTTGCCCGTTCACTTACGTTTAAACAGGTCTGACACTACTATGCACCCCGGCTGTATCTAGGCTAACGGCTAACATGCTAACTATTATTTTTATGTCACTAGTCATTTGAAACAAATTTAGGACGATAGGAGACAGGTTGAAATAAATGGAAATTTCCCTTTAAGTGAATAAATGAGTAAATTTAGAAAGCATTTCCTTGAATCATGTTTGACTCTGTTCATCTTCAGAGTTAAAGAGGCTGCCCCCCCTCCCTCTCTCTCTCTTCAGCTCCTCCCAGTCTTTTATATGTAAATGTGGGGCGAGCGAGGCTGCCTCACCTGCAGGTAAACTGTCTCACCTGAACCTGAACATCACTTCAGTCAGTCTGAGTGCTCTGAGCTGAAGGGAACAAACTTCTGAGGCTCCTTCGGCTCTTTGAAGTTTCTCATCTGAAGAGCTTTTACAAACAGAGTCGTGTTCAGAGGTGAAGAACTGAGACGACCTGTGGACTGTGTGTCCTCAGAGACAAAGACACGTCTTCAGGAGGGTTTAATAAGATTTAAAGAAAAGTAGAAGTCTGAAGGAAGGTTTAAAAAGACTTTAAAAGAATGACAGGTGGACGTCTGCATCTTTAGGACATCTGACAGAAAACACTAAAGAAAGATGGACCACTGTGATGAACTTTTTAAGATGCTGTAAGTATTAAAAAAAGGAACAAAGTTAAGGTTTGAAATGTGAAGACAGGTGGACACGTCCTGTTTTTTTTCTGTCTGCATGTTTTTAAAGACCAAAGATTGAATATTTGAAGAAGACGACAATCAAGACAACTTCTCTGTGATCTTTTTATTTTGGTTTTTAAAGAACAGATAGTTAAAAAAAATGTTTTGAGGGAGTTAAGAAATTCGATTTTTTATTTACTGGATCATTTGAAGAGAAGGACACCGGGAAGAAATTTCTGAAGAAGACGGGACATCAAATGTCCTAAAGTTAAGACCTGAGGAGGACAGAAGGACGGACTTCTCAGAGATTATTTTGGGTTTTGTTCCTGCAACAGACGATCTTTAGAACATTTATTTAGGACTGTTTCAGAGACGACAAAGTTTGAGCGAAGGACATCTCCTTCAAGACGTCTCGGAGAGGTTTCAGGACAAGAGGAAATAAAGTGTCTTCATGTCAGTGTTGGACCATGAACTGATCCAGGATCAGGACTCAGCAGGCTGGATTAACCTCTGACCTCTGACTCAGGTTTGATTTTACATGATTTATTTGAAAAACTTTATTAATACATAAACTTCAAATCATGTTAGGTGTTGACAATGAACCGAAGTCGATTAAAACCCTAAAAACAAACAGTAGTCAGTGTGGTGATGACAAACGTGGAGTTCTCCTGGTTTACAGCAGCTGTGTTTTCTTGTAGTTTGGGTCTGTTGAGTGATTTCTGATTTACACCTGTAAATAAAGAACTTAAACTGGTCGAGTCCTGGAGACATTTTACAGATGATGAGAACAGGAGTGAGGCTGGGATAAAAATATATACCTGAAGCACCAAGACATGATTACTTATATAATTATATATTTAATATGTTATTTTAAAGGTTAGGGTGTTTTTAACTGAAGTAGAGAGACAAAGGTCCAGGTTTGGACTTGAACAGAGATGTTGTGGTTCAAGGTCGGCACCTTAAACCTCAAAGTGTTTAAAGGATCCAGATTATATTTAGTTAAACAATTGAAGACGTCACACCTGAACCTGGGTCAGATTTAAGGCTGTAGGGGATCAGGGCTTCGCTGTTAGGACTCTGTATTGACCTGCCTCACCAAATCATTATACAGCATACCCACAGTCATGGAAAACCTGCAAAAGTTGTTTCACAATTTAGTTTTCTGGGCCTGGGAAAGTCATGGAATGAGAAAAACCCTTGAAAGTTTTGGAAAAGTCAAACTGTAACCTCATGTGTAATGCAACATAACAGCAAATTTAGGATGCTTTCACACCTACCTGTTTGGTTTGGTTCAGTCCGACTCAAGTTCGTTTGCCTCCTAAGTGCTGTTCGTTTGGGTAGAGTAGATGTATATGTCTTGCTTCATGTTAACTGAAATTACATTTGAAGAGTTAAAGGCTGATATGTTGAATGTTTAAATATATTGTGGCAGAGTGATTAAACTAATTGAACTAATTTTGACCCACTAAAATTTTTAAATTGTGTGAAAAGTTTGATGTTGTGAATGGAAATGTATTATGGGTCCTTTAAAAGTCCTGGAAAGGTTTTTAAATCTTTACATGAAAATCTATGGGAACCCTCATTATCTTCTTAGTCTATCAGTCATCCTCGTGTTTTTCATTCTTTATATCTTGTAAAGTTTTATCCGCTGCACATTTTAGATTGTATCTGACGTCTGAGTCACTGGTTTCACTGGTTTTATTCCTTGTATCTGATAAACTTTATCATTATAATTAGGAAGATATTAAAGTTGCCTGTAGAAAAATCTCCTCTGTATCTGTAGAGGTGTGATGTCCTCACAAACCTGTGTATGAACAGGGTCCCCTGATCGTCTAGCTGGCAAACATGTTGATACACTCGTCTGAGTTTCCTTCAGTTGTTACTGTCAGATCACAGAGGTCAGGTTTACTGATAACAGTGAAGCAGGATTTATACTTGTACATCAGCTCTATACAGAGCCAAAGCTGTTGTGATTATTCATACTGCTGCAGTGGAGTGTCTGTGTCACTGTGAAGTGCTGTAAAGTTTAGTTGATTCAAAACACACATTAAACATGGCTTAATAGAGACAATTTCAAACACAAGTATCAGCTTCACTATAACTCGCAGCATTCACAGACAAACACTTGTCTTTATCTGGACACATTTTCCCCACAAATCCAACATGTTAACGTTATTAGCACAAGCCTATGGCATTTTACATTGTATAAATTAACCTAGCAGCTAGCAGACTTTTCCTCTACTCATATGAAGCCAGGGACAACAGCAACATTTAATAAAGGTAGTGTTACAAAATTTGGCTCCATTACAACTCACAAGGTTCACTGACAAAACAACTGTCTTATACTAAACACGTTTTCCAAACAAATACAACATGCTAACATTACTAGCACAAGCCTATGGCATTTTACATTGTATAAATTAGCGTAGTGACGAGCAGAGATTTCCTCTGCTCATATGAAGCCAGGATAAATCACACACAAGACTTAAAATGTTATTTTTGTGGAGGATTTATTGTCTTCACAATGTATTGTTTCTTATCTGTGAAATTAAAGTAAATAAAAGCTTTGTTTCCATTGAGGGAAATGGTTTCAGCTTACAGCTCGGGTTACTGTCAAGTTAATACTTAGTCTTCTATCCCTTGATACCACGTCAAACCTCGCCACAACTCTGACGTGATTTTTGTTGCTTTGAATTTTACTTTATTTTTCTTCAGGTGAAGTTAATGTGTCTGACATTCAGTGAGCTGATGAAGGAGGTTTGAAGGTGATATGTCTGGATTGTTTTCATTTCAATATGTAGTGTGGTTTTAATGAAGAAACTGGAGAAGGAAGAAAATCTTCCAATTCATTTCAAGGTTTGATTTTCAAAGTTTTGATGTGTTGATGTTAAAAATTGGTTTTAATTTGAAAGTCAGGAATGACAATGTGCATTAAATCCTAATTCACGTTGCTGTAACAGCTGATTATTTTATTTTGGTGATGTTTTATTCTGTTTTCGACACAGACGTCTGAACGCTGCAGAGAAGAAGAAGAGAATCTGATTGGATGCCTTCCTGGTGCAGGTCGTCTGTCAGCCTGAAAATGACAGTGAGCGACGCAGGTCAAGAAGCAGACCGGTGAGGGGAAATCAAACCCACGTCGTTGGCGTTATGTTGGTGTGTCACTCCCTGCTGCTCACTGTGGTGCTGCTCGCCGCCAGAGTCTGGAGCCAGAGCTGGAGACCCTGCACAGGTATGAGGACACAGGTGTGACTCGTGACGTGTTAAAGGTCCCAACAAGTCTGTTGGATCTGTTGTTAGCATTAAAGGAGCAGTCTATCATCATGTCCCCCTGTTAGCCTAGCTTAGCACACAGAATTAGAAGAAGGGGGAAACTGTTAGCCTAGCTTAACACAAAGACTAGAAGCTGAGGAAAACTGTTAGCCTAGCTTAGCACAAAGACTAGAAGCAGAGGGAAACTGTTAGCCTAGCTTAGCACAAAGACTAGAAGCAGGGGGAAACTGTTAGCCTAGCTTAGCTCAAAGAATGTAAGCAGGGGGAAACTGTTAGCGTAGCTTAGTTCAAAGACCGTAAACAGGAGGGCATTGTTAGCCTAGCTTAGCACAAAGACTGGAAGCAGAGGGAAACTGTTAGCTTAGCTTAATACAAAGACTAGAATCAGAGGAAAACTGTTAGCGTAGCTTAGCACAAAAACTAGAAGCAGAGGGAAACTGTTAGCCTAGCTTAGCACAAAGACTAGAATCAGAGGGAAACTGTTAGCCTAGCTTAGCACAAAGACTAGAAGCAGAGGGAAACTGTTAGCGTAGCTTAGCACAAAGACTAGAAGCAGAGGGAAACAGTTAGCCTAGCTTAGCACAAAGACTAGAAGCAGAGGGAAACAGTTAGCCTAGCTGACCAACAACTGCTAAAAACAGCGAACGAAACCCTAAAATGTCTTTAAAATCCTTAACAGACCAACAACTGTATTAAAGTGACAGACTTTTTCCTCTGGTAATGAATGAATGAAAGAATGAATGTATTGCAGTGATTAGCCAACTTTAGTATCAGGATATTCACTGTATCTGTGGCCTCTTTGACCCGGCTGCTGTGTTTCATGTGTTTCAGATGTTTCTCTGCTGCTTTGTGCTTCGTTATTGTTTCGTGTCTTTGAAATGTGAGATCTATTTCTGTACATGTCGTCCCCTCCCTCCATTCATCCTCCATTCATCCTTCATTCATCCTTCATTGATCCCACTGCAGCAACAAAACACACAGACGGCCTCAGAGGAGCTTAAAGGGGAATTCCAGATAAAAACTAACAGAGACAAAGATTTAAACTCCCTGTGCGTCTCTTCTTTCATCTCATATCTGTCACCTGTCATATCCTTATCTGACTCTGTCCTGGATGCTGAAGGCCGTGTTCAGTCCTGCAACAGGACCGAGCATCCTGCTGCTGCTATATGCAATGGTACAATCTGGTCATCACAGGATTCAACATACATTTAACCAATCCTTAAAAAAATCCCAATTTTTCCCCATTCATTGCAACAATAATTCACATTTACTTGTTTCTCCAACACTTATTATGACTCTGTATTTTTTCATGATTCTGTACATTACTCCATGACTCTGTATGGTCCTCCCTACAATACTCAAACTAACTGATCTGTAACATTATGAACTGTGTGGTGGGCTGAATTCAGGCTGTTTCTATTCTGACTGTTACAGATCAACTTATCAAAAACACACAAAAAAAACTGTTCAATGTAGACCATTTCTCTTGGTGAAAAACAAAACATGGCATCATTATTAGATGAACCCCAGCCTCCAGCAGCAGATATCTCTACCTGGACACACCTTTGGTTCTATTTTTAGATCAGCACTGAAGCCACAGGTGGAGGAATCAAACGCACCCTGAGGTGACGATGTGATGAAAATAAACTCTGCATAGCTGAAGAGTGAATCAGATATCTGATACAGATTAATATCCAGCTGACCACATGACAGACACACTTATCAATCACAGGAAGAGGAAAATGTCCTGTTAGAAAGACATCTGATAGAATAAAAATAGACAGCTGTTGTGTAACATCAGCTGTGACTCTGTCAGACTGAAATTCATTTTTTACTGATTTCACTTCAGCTGTGATGAGTTTGGTGAAGTTCTCAGAAATGATGGAGGCCATGAACGTTAAGATTTTTTAAAATACTTAATAATATTTCTGAGGAAAAATTTTGATATTCTGAAGGACCTCATATTTGTTCACTGACATTATGCCTTTGCATTTCCTGCATTACATGAGCCACTCGCTAGCTTGCTAAATTGTTTAGTTTTTCTGGCTTCTAGGCGCAGGCAGCAGCGTCCGTGTTTTTGTGAACTAGCAGCGTTGCTCTCATGACTTTATCATTTGAACACCAAGCATATCCTGTACACCGCTTCCCGTGCTATAACCGCAAGTTCACGAGTTCCATTGAAAGGCATGACTTACCACAAAGACTTAAAGCAGGAGGAAACTGTTAGCCTAGCTTAGCACAAAGAACATAAGCGGGGGAAACTGTTAGCCCAGCTTAGTTCAAAGACCGTAAACAGGAGGGCATTGTTAGCCTAGCTTAGCACAAAGACTGGAAGCAGGGAGGAAAACTGTTAGCCTAGCTTAGCTCAAAGAACGTAAGCAGGGGGAAACTGTTAGCCTAGCTTAGCTCAAAGAACGTAAGCAGGGGGAAACTGTTAGCCTAGCTTAGCTATAAGAACGTAAGCAGGGGGAAACTGTTAGCCTAGCTTAGTTCAAAGACCGTAAACACGAGGGCATTGTTAGCTTAGCTTAGCACAAAGACTCAACCTTTCTTTGTGAGTCTGATGTATCTGACTCTCATAACAACATAGAAAAAAATAGATTTCTCTCTTTTTAATAAATGTAAAAATGTTGTTTATGATGCAGTTTGTACTTTCTGTTTCTTCCACAGACCTGCTGCCTCTTGACCTGCTGGCCAGAGTCCTTCCACACCCAGGACAAGCCCCGCCCCCACAGGTAGGACAGGTGAACACATGAAGAGTTAATGACTGCAGACCAGATGGTGTTAACACATGATCAAACAAATGACCAATCAGGTGCAGATGGTTCAGTCCAAAGGATCCAGAGGTCTCCGACTGGCCGGAGCCACGGCGACAGCGCTGAGTTTTCCCGCCTCCCAAATCTTCAGCAACTGTGACTACTTCCCGGCTGAGTTCTCATTGGTTACCACCATCAAGATACCGAGACTAAGACAGAAGGTGAGCCAGTAGAATGGATGATAACCTCACAGAACCTGATCCAGTCTGATCCGGTCTGATCTAACCTGTTCTTCTCTCTTTTTCCAGAGGAACGAATACATCTTCTCTGTGGTGGACGAGAGATCGGATTCCCTGTTGCTAGGGTTACGTGTCTCAGAGAACCGCCTGCACCTCCTGGTTACACCCCCCGGTGTTGGTGGACGAAGCCGGCTGAGCTTTAAGGATATTGGACTGGATGATAACCGCTGGCACACTGTGGTGCTCGCCATCACCGGACCATACGCCACGCTGAGCGTCGACTGTGGACTTCCTCTGGAGCTGTGAGTAACTGTCAGACCAGTCCAGACTGGTTCAGACCAGTTCAGATTGGTTTCCGATTAGATCAACTAGACAAGTTCAGACTGCTTCAGACCAGTTCAGGCGGGTTCAGACCATTTCATACCAGTTAATTCTAGTTCAGACCAGTTTAGATCTGTTCAGACCAGTTCAGACTGGTTCATACCAGTTTAAACCAGTTCAGACCAGTTTAAACTGGTGTCTGACCAGTTCATCATCAGGTTCAGTCCACAGTGAGGTCAGTTTGAAGCCCAGAGGCCAGATTGTTACATTAACTGGTTTCCTGTTTCCCAGTAAACAGGTCCGGTCATTCCCCAGCACTCTGAGCACCAGAGGCTCCAGGTTCTTCATTGGCAGCAGGAGGAGGATGAGGGGACGCTTCTCTGTGAGTCTGGGATCAGGACTGTGGACAGCCCTCCAGGGTCCTGGTGTCATATCTAAAAACAGAAGCTTTAATGTGAAAAAGCTTAGAACTTCCTGTCTGTGTTCAGGGTTTACTGCGGCAGCTGGTTCTGCTTCCTGGTTCAGACGCCACGCCCAGACTGTGTCCGACCTCTGACCCCAGCCTTGCTGAGCTATCCATCCCCCAGGTCCTAAAGTCCACCCCTCTGCAGCCCGACCAGTATGGACCAGTTTACCCATACGGTGAGGAGAGGAGGGGCTGGGATCAGATCTAAGAGGCCGTACACAGGCTGTGTCTTTAACCCCCAGGAAAACAGAAAATTAATCAGCAGTTATTTTATTAGTCAATTAATGGTTAAAGTCCGTGAGGTTGTGCTCTCCCTCTGACATGACAGTAACTTTAATGTTTTTGGATTAATAAATGTTTGTTGGACAAAACAAGACATTTAATGAAGTCACTTCAGGCTCTGATGTTTTTAGACCAAACCTTTAATTGATAAATAATCTAGAGAGTAATCTGAATTTAATCTTTAACGGCAGCCCTCGTCCACAAACTTTTGGCAACGTAGAGAGACCCTGATATAAACAGGTGTATCAGGTGGACATGAGGGTCAGTGAGGACTCTCAGCTCAGTGTTGGTGCTTCAGCTTGTGATGGTATCAGAGATTCAGTAACCTGAGACACAACATGACTGACAGGGCAGAACTTCCTCTCTGTGTGTGTGTGTGTGTGTGTGTGTGTGTGTGTGTGTGGTTTGATTGACTGTCGGGTTTCTGTTCTGTGTGTTTCCATGACAACAGTGACTGACAGGTGATGATGTTCAGTTATAAAAACAACAACATGGTGCAGGTGTGTTCTCTCCCCCATGAAACAGTCAGGGGCTTTCAGTGATATTCAGGAACTGTTAGCCTAGCTTAGTACAAAGACTGGAAGCAGAGGGAAACTGTTAGCCTAGCTTAGCACAAAGACTGGAAGAGAGGGAAACTGTTAGCCTAGCTTAGTACAAAGACTGGAAGCAGAGGGAAACTGTTAGCCTAGCTTAGTACAAAGGCTGGAAGCAGAGGGGAAACTGTTAGCCTAGCTTAGCACAAAGACTGGAAGAGAGGGAAACTGTTAGCCTAGCTTAGTACAAAGACTGGAAGCAGAGGGAAACTGTTAGCCTAGCTTAGTACAAAGGCTGGAAGCAGAGGGGAAACTGTTAGCCTAGCTTAGCACAAAGACTGGAAGAGAGGGAAACTGTTAGCCTAGCTTAGTACAAAGACTGGAAGCAGAGGGAAACTGTTAGCCTAGCTTAGTACAAAG